ATAATTGGCAGAGACTTTGAATAATTTGAGCAAACGGGTGGTGAAGTGATTATTTATGGTTGTTCACAGGTTTTACTCCAGCAGCTCTCAAAGCAATCACAGTGACACCTTGTGTTGCACTTTCCCCTCTCATTTTCCTACTCCCCATATGCTCTTATGGCAGCTAGAAGCAGAGCTGGTGCAGAAGGAGGAGAAGCTGCTGGAGACAGATTTTCTCTACAAGCACGTATCCCGACTGACGGAGAGAGCCCGTGCCAGGGCAGAGAACGGGAAGCGGGACACGCTGCTGTTAGCTAAAAGGGTAAGGCGGCTCTCGCACGCTCTGCTAGGTGGGCTATACAGAATGAAGCGATACCTGGGCAAGGGGTGAGATGACTCACTTGCAAATTACTGAACTCGTGGATGAGAATACTGACAGGCAAATCATACGTTAGCCTTCAGACATTCCAGACCTGTAGTTATAACGGCACTATAGACACAGCATTAAGGGAGCCTATGTTGGTTTTGAAAGAAAGCTGCGTCACAAACAGCACCTTTCACCAAAATACAGGATTAGTTATTTCTCGGGCTGAGTGCTTAGAAACTTGGGAGGATCCTCCATTTGTGCGTGTGTGACTAACAGCTCTTCCACGATGGATAAAAAGAAATAAGGGAGAGCCAGGTAAGTTTTATATCCCTCCAACACAGGAAAAGATAAACTTGGTACCTGGCTCAAAGTTTCTTTGTTACGTAGGTAGGGAGAACCAGACGGGAAAGCAGAATCATTTTCAGTGCAGTTACTCTGATGTATTTATAGCCATTCTCTTTTAACTGCCAGTGGTGCTGCCTGGGGAAGAGCAACCCCCACCTCCTTAATAAGCCAGCCCCACAGAGAGCAGAGCTGAGTGAACGACAGAAAACACCTGCAAAGTAATGTAAAACAAGGCCAGGGTTGAGGTTTTCTTCAGGCGTTAGGTTTGGCACTCAGAAAGGCTTCAAACAAAACACACCTTTATAGCAAAACTTTAGTTTTCCACAGGCAGAGAAATAACGTGGCCGTTACTGGGTTTGTGAAATCCTCGCCATGGGCTGATAAACTACTGTAAAAGCGGCAGCATGCCAAAGTCACATTCGAGTGCTCCCCATTGCCCATGAGTCCCTTAATAAGAGTATTTGAGTTTTGTTGGGTTTTTTTGTTTAAATCCTCTCCAGTCAGAGTCAAGGCTTCCTCTCCCATTCCTTTTCTGCTCATCCCCCTGCCAAGGATAACTTCCCAGCCCACAGCATCTACATTATCACTCAATTCTCTTGTGAGGACGGGCCTTATTACGCTTTTATTACGAGGTTAATTAGGCACAAGGTCAATCGGCACCTGTCCTTGAGGGCAATGGGAGTTCCTGCTCAGCTCAAAAGGGCAGGAGGCAATTACAGACTGGCCGTTCTATCCCTTGTGCTGGAGTAAACGCGAGCTGCCAGTCCCTGTGCCTCCCAGTTCCTGTGCCTCCCGGGTCCTGTACCTCCCCGTTGCTGGAGTAAACGCGAGCTGCCAGTCCCTGTGCCTCCCAGTTCCTGTGCCTCCCGGTTCCTGTACCTCCCAGTGTGCAAAAACACACGGCCTGTTTCGTTACGTCATTTCCAAGTAAGGAACTATTTTTTAAAACAGGGTCAAGCTGGGCTTGTTTCCACGTGCTCAGTAGGTACCTAACCGTCAGGCCCAGTGCGTGTGTAAAGGGAAGCCCTAACTAAACCGTAGTTGTTGCTCGCTCCAGACTAACGAACTGCAGAAGAAGGTAAAGGACAGAACCCGGAAGATGATGGCTCTTGTTGCAGAGCTGTCCATGAAGCAAGCCCTTGCCAGTAAACTCCAGCAGGAAATGAGGGACAAGGAGCAACTTTTGATGACTGTTTCGTCAAGGATAGATCAAGGCCTTCCCCCACCCAAGGAAACAGAAAACGAATGGCTGAAGGTGTTACACAACGAGAAGATGCAAAAAGAAGCAGCTGAAGCCAGAGCTAAAGTAAGTGTTTGCCCTGCGCTGCAATTAGGTCTTCAGCCCCATCCCCTCACTGCTCCAGCCTGTCTTTCCAACAGAGCAGTGCTGGCTCAGCGCCGCACCGCTCCATTACCACACGGAGCGCCAGGAGTCGGGGGAGATGTTGGTACAGACAGAGACAGGTACTGAAGGGCTACACTGCGGGCCGGGGGAGTTGGAACTGCCGTCAGGCACACCGCTTAGGAGTGGTCTTTGAACCTTAAGGAGAGAACACGTTACGCTAAAAGGAAGACGTACCCTTGATTATTGAAGTAATTTGTGTGACCATGTTTCGGGATGATGGGCTAGACAGCCACCTGGAAAAGCGTCGCTTTCCATTTGATTTCTGCTAAAGCCGCAGAAGGTGGAGTGCGGGTTGGGGGAAAATAAAGTTAGCATCCTCCACATCCCAGATCAGATCAGAAGCAGCAAGAAATCAGATTGCTAGGCAAGACAGTGTGGGGAGGCAGGGCAGCACAGAAGTTGTATAAAAGGAGATGCGTATGCCGAGGGAACCCTTGCTGACAGGAATTACCTTTGCTGGACGAGGGCATCAGTGAACCACTCCAAGGGAATCTGAAAGGCGCACAAAGCTGGGAGAGAAATGCACTGTGCATACACTTAGAGAACTTGAAGTCACGCAGAAGTGATGTCGTGAAACTGGTTTAGAATAAGAAACTTCTCCTCATGCTATGACTCAGTTCCCTTTCAGCGCGGCAGATACGAGCTCACAGCAGTAGCTGTGTTCAGAACAGCGTAAACACAGACACGTTGTGAAGCATCAGAACAATTGTCCCATTCCTGCGCTGTTCTGTGCGTATTCATTACTGCTTTTAAAAGTTCATCTAATCTATTTTCTTCCCAAACAACAAATGCATTATTGGCTCAAACCCCGTAGTGTTGGAAAGGACAAACTCGCATCTCCGTGGTCAGTAACTCACGCTTTCCTTTCACTGAGCGAGCGCTACCCCTCTGGGTTTCCAGCTTGCTAAGGATGAGGCTAACGGCGTTTCCTTTGTCAGGCATTCTGCTCGCTGCCTCGGGAGGGTACCAAGCGTCAGAGCATGTGGTAAGTTGGTGATGAAAAGGTGTCTCTTTACAGCACGCTGCAGAAGAGGAACAAGCTGCAGCGCCCGGCTGCATCCACACAACCGCCGAGCAACGCCCAACCGCCTACATCCCAGATGACGGATACAGTCTCCCAGTGCCGCGGCCCTACGGCGCTCTGGCTCCTTTCAAACCAAGCGAACCTGGTGCGAATATGAGACATTTCAGAAAACCTATTGTAAAGCCTACTGAAATCTGAACAGGCGGCACCTACAGGGGAGGCCGTTACTGGTTGCTGAATCTCAAGGGCCGACAGCGTCTACACTGTGCTGAAGGCATGCCTGTTAGTGTTTAGCCAAATCCCATACTGAAAACAAAGCAGTAGGTAATGCCAGAAGCAGAGCTAAATAGTCAGCAGTACAAGTTCCCTTCTCCTAGCCAGGAGGAGCCTGGTATCCCAAATGCAGTGCAGTACTTCAACATGTTAAGAAAAATGAGCTTTTCTTTTTTCCAGGTGAAGTTTTATTGTATCTGATTATACTCTGGAATAAATTTCATTAAAAAGAAAAGGTCAGAAAAATCTTCTCTTGTTATTACTGTAATACGAACCAAGTCCCAGCTGCTTATGCAAAGGCACTGACACAGTTTTCTGCAGCCCGGGGCTGGAGTTTACGCTTGCTGGTCAAATTTTAATTTTACTGAGAAAAGCACTCCTTCCCTCCACGCAGCTACTGCGAAAGCTGAAGCTCTGCTCCGCTGGCGGCGATGACGGGAACGGCCATGAACATGCAGAGTCACTCCTGAGGACAGGATCTTTTTATTTCATTGGTTAGGAACAGGAAGCATCAGTGGAAACTGCTCAGAGTATCAGAGGTTGTCACTGAAAGCCTCCAAAATATGTCTAATTGTCAACGAGTTTCACTAGTTTCATGGTCTGAAAGTCTGACAGAGTGTTTTGAAATCCAGTAAAGACTGGGGAAATCCTCCTTGTCAGAACTTAGGATTTTCTCTGCATAGTGAACCACTATTGCTGCTTTAAATTAATGTCACAGTTCAGAACTTAAAGGCAAACCCCACCCTATACAACAGAGGTCCAGTTATACAAAAATAAAAGTTGAAAATGAAAGAAAACCAACATCCATCATCTCTTTTTGCAGCTGAGGTTTGAGATGTAACCATAAAAGTTGTGAGTAAAGGATGATGTGGAACTCTGTCCCAGCCACAGTTAACCTTTGAAAGAACCCTTTTCCTTGTCCTGTATTGCCCGTGATGTACCATACAAATCTTAAAGAAAACAGACCAACAAAACCCCGTCACATGCACTTTAAAGAGATTGTATTTTGCGTTAAATACAAACCCGAACATGTCGGAGCCCAACACCAGAGGCAGGAGTAACAGCTGGCCACCCCAAGGAATGACGACATCGCTACTGATGCGTTACATCCCGCAACCGAGCCGTGACTTGCTGTTCTCACCTGCTTTACATAAACACACCAAGAACTACTTTCACTCACCTAACCGAGTAACGGTTACCGCATTCTTGGGAGTGCACAATCCAACTGGATTACCGCTTTCAGGACTGTCTATCTTGTTAAATTAATGGACATGAACACCAATTTTCACAGCATGTTTTGGTACCTGCTGTAGTTCCACCCCCTGGACCCATGAAAAAATGAAACCACAGGCATCTTCTGTCGGAAACCTGGGTTTGTGTCAGATGAATTTCTCTAGAAGTCAGTGATTTCAGCCTTAATACGTTGCACCAAACAATACTTTGAGCAGCTTACGTCACTAACGGTGGCTACACAAAACTGCACATTATTTGGGAAACAAGAGGACATTTAAGTTTAAAACAAACACAAAGAGAAATTGGTTGCACGTTCTGTGTGAATGCTGTTACGTACGAGTGCCAGGGCCAGCGGCCTTCAACAGCGTGTTGGTTCAGGAATATTTGAGGCCCAAAAGCGTCACCGTGTGTCTGAGTGCTGTTTCCTCCACAAATCTTATATTAACATGGTCTTGTCGTTCGTATGGACGAACATCTAGAAAAACAGGAGGGAAAGTCAGTGATTACGAAACCATAAGTGGTGCCCTACACTTCTCCTGCAGTCTATGAACAGCTTCACCTGCAGCACTGAAAGATAAGGTAAGAGATGGAACTGGTTTCGTTTACACAAAATACCTACAGCCTCTCGTGGCAGCATTTGGATGCGTTCCGATGCTCCCCCTGCCAGGGGGATGGCAGTACATGACCGACCATCTCGGGAGCCCACAACGGATTCCCACACTGATTCTACGCTGGCGGTGCAGAACTCGGTTGAAGCACAGTGCCCGTGTGGGTGCCAGCACACAGAACGGACCGGGGCACACCCTCACATGCTTCTGTACGGCTTAACTCTTCTTCCTCCCCAAATGGGATGACACCCATACATGGACAATCCTGGCTCAGCCTTCAGGCCCTTACCCTGGCTTCATTTTGATATTAGCGGAGGCACAGCCAGCAGTGCTAAAGAGTGTAACGCTTCCCTTCACACACCTTGCCTTTTCACTGGAATCTCAAATCTTCAGATCCCCAGGTTCGCTGTATGACACACGTGCCCTAACCAATCTGAGTTTCATTCCAAAAAAAAGGAACAGCACTGAAGTAAAAAATGCCTGTTACTTCAGAGCACCTCCTAACCTGGGCACGCTTTTCTGAGGCGTAAGATCCGATTTTGGTTGCCTTTTAACCACCATACTGCATAAATATATTCAAATATAAAATGGAAGATGTAACTGTGTAATGGAACAAGCCTTTCTCCCCATCTGAACACGGAGCAACAGCTACCACCACGCTGTACATGACTCGTGCTCCATCATGCCTGTTCTGAAACACGCAGGTTTGCCAGTCGGACGCCGCACACGGAGGATGTGGAGGAAAGGATGTGCAGTGACAAAGGGCCCCGACAAGTCCCATCAGCAGAAGGATGACCAAACCTACAAGTCCAGACACCACTGGAGTTTTAGAACTCAGTTGTGTCCGTACAGTCTGGATACAGCTGCGTGTGAGCATCTAAGAGTAACAGTTCCAGGTCTTCCGAAGTACGGATTTAGTGTTACCTTGATTCTCTATCTCTGCCAGCATATTAGTCAGGTAGTTGAGTGGCAAAAACTCCAGAGGGACGGAGAGTCTCTCAGGGACAGGCCTGCTGCACTGTAAAGGAGAATAATTCAGGTCAGTTCACAAAGTCGCAAGGTACCAAGTTTCAGTGTGCAACAGTCCACAGAAAGGTCAGGAATCTCAGATCCATCAACACAAGAGATTACAAAAGGCCTACGTGCTCTTACCTGCCCGTTCCCCAGCTTCTCAAACAAAAGCTTCACATAGTTCCGTGCAATGAAGTTAGCATTTATGGGGTGATTCCAAAACTGGCGGACCTTTTGACCAAGAGCCTGATAAACAAACAAAAAAAACCCCAAAACCTTGAGAACATGAACATAGGCCACTGGAAACTTAGGAGGGGTAAAGGAGGAAAAAACCCGAATCAAAGTCCAGGCGCTTTGCTTTCAGACACTGATGAAAGACGCCAAGATGTCATTTTTAGCCACAGAGCCTTCCTTTCAGAGCCAGTAACTGAGACTCTGATATGCTCCCCAAAGGTGGGAAACAATCAAACCTTTGCCACTCAGTACCCACTGAGCTGCTCACCCAGGCTCTTCCAATCGTCTGTCCCACTAATTTTGTCCAGTCTGCACACATAATTAAATGTTTAAGCTTAAAATGACCTTTTATCCTTTCCTGTGACTCTCTGGTTTAAATCCATTCTCCCAAATAACAACCCAGGTGCCCCTTTCCTCGATGCTGCCTTCAGCACCGGGCTTGTCTCGGGCTCAGCCTACGGAACCTCTCCAAGCAGAATGCCGACAAGGAGCGAGACTGGGAACTGAATTTGCATCCCATTAGTTAGTACATTGCCCTGGGAACTGGTAACATTGATTCACATCCCCAAGGGCAAGAGAGATTCACACACAGATGTCCCAAAGCTTCCAATCGTAATCACTAAGCAAATAAATCCGGACACACTGGGAAAAGTTCCACCTTCTGCTATTTTCCCAACTGAGAACTCTTTTTTTGCCCCCTCGCTTTCAGCTGTACTGCAGTACAGTTTACTGAAAGAGTTCATTTAGGAAACACTGGACAATTTCAGTGGTGCTTCAATACTTGCTTCTGATGCAGCTGAAGTCATCTAGTGACTGCAACCTGCTCAAAATAGTCCGAGTCACCCCAGTGTCCTTTTTGGCAAACAAACTATCCTCCCCATTTTTCCCCAAAGCTCTAAAGAGACAGGGAATGGCGCTGAGTCTGCTGTGCGTAACTGGCAGCACACGCCCCCTGAAGCCCCCCCAGCTCAGCCCCTCTGCCAAAGCTCAGTTGGAACGGGGCTCCCCACCCACCAGACCTGGGGCTGACGGCGCAGGGAGGCCCCCGTGCTGACCCAGCTCACCAACCCGTGCCCACAACAAGATAGAGAGGACAAAGAACGCCCTGTGGAGTTCTCCTTCCCCACCCCTCCCCAAAACTGCTGCCCAATAAAGAAGCCCTTGTTAGAGGAAAACCGACGCGGCGTTTCTGGCCCTCTGAACGACACGTAACAGCCCGCAGTGAACAGACAGTACACAATTTATGTTGAGAAAAGCCTGTTTCACAGCAAGGCACTCCCCAAGGGGGATCCCTGGTTTCCCTCTGCTCGCTGAGATGTGGGGCTTCCTCTGCACTAAGGACAAAAGGGCAAAGGAGACGTCGGTCTCCCATTCTGTTGGAACTTCCAGCGGGATATCAGTAACTAGATCCAGCGTGTGGCTACAACAGCCACTTACCAGAGGGCGAGGCTGGTGGATTTTACAGAGAGGGAGCTCTTGTAATTTAATCCCTGCCACAAGGTTGTGGGATGATCAGATTTTACAGCTTTTACTGCACTGGCTTTTGAACACATTTGACAAAATGAGTAAAATGAAACAGAGGTCACAACTGAGAAAGGCATCTGTGGATGCTAAAAAAACCCCCACAAACAACAACAAAAAGACACACCAAAAAGATCCTCTTTAAACCCCATAAAACTGCTATTGTTATATGCAGATGAGCACCCAGCAGAACAGTGTCAGTCTTGTCTATACCTGCGAGGGACGGGATGCACTGTAAAACACTAGGGACAACACTAATTTATCAGGGTACACAACAGGCCATGAACAACAGATGCAGAACCTGGTGAGACACACCCGCAGGTCCTGAGGGTCTAAGTAAGCCACTATCCATCATATTCGAGAAGTCGTGGCGGTCTGGTGAAGTTCCCGCTGACTAGAAAAGGCGAAACATAACCCCCATCTTTAAAAAGGGAAAAAGTAAGAGCCAAGGAACTACAGGCCACTCAGTCTCACCTCTGTGCCTGGGAAGATCATGGAGCAGATCCTCCTGGAAAGCATGCTAAGGCACATGGAGAATGAGGAGGTGCTTGGCGACAGGCAACATGGCTTCACCAAGGGCAGATGGTGCCTGACGAATATGGCGGCCTTCTACGATAGCACCTTCCAGTACCTGAAGGGGACTTTTTACAAGGGCCTGTAGTGACAGGACAAGGGGTAACGGGTTTAAATTGAAAGTGGGGAGGTTTAGATTGGGTATCAGGAAGAAGTTCTTCACGGAGAGGGTGGTGAGGCACTGGAACAGGTTGCCCAGAGAAGCTGTGGGTGCCCCATCCCTGGAAGTGTTCAAGGCCAGGCTGGATGAGGCTTTGAGCAACCTGGTCTAGTGGAAGGTGTCCCTGCCCATGGCAGGGGGGGTGGAACTAGATGGTCTTTAAGGTCCCTTCCAATCCAAACCATTCTGTGATTCTGTGGAAGTGTGGGGATTCAGGTTACAGCTGTGATTCACACAGGGCACAGCTAAGTCTTCCACTGGCTTGATCCTATCCACGGGGAGGAATTTCCTATAGATTCCAAAATCCAAGACATTACATCCAAAGTTGTTAGTTACCTCAGGAAGCCTCATGACAATACTCAGCTTCAGCTTTTCATTCTCCTCAGTGTCACCCAGATCTACAAGAGAATGGAAAAAAAACCCAAACAAACATCACCAATCAGTGGTAACCACATCGCTAAGACTTTTAACTTTCACTTAAGGCATTCTGAATAAATACAATCTCTGCAATTAAGTGAAAATTTTAACTTTAAGTAAGGGCTATTAGAAGTGTAATGTATGTTTACACTGTTTATATAGATACATTTCTATGTATCTGTATGTAACTTCACCATTTCTTGTAACAATTTAGACAGTAATCAAAACATGTTTTGACTAGACAGAACTCCCCATCTGTATAATATTTCATGTACCAACACCAAACAGACTAATACTGCACATCATCTTCCTTTGCTAGAACGCTGGAGAAGTAGCATGTTGCAAGGGAAGGTGGTTGCAGCTGTGATGAAATGAGTTACTGAAGGAGAGGCGGTGCTGCTGTATCCCAGGAAACTTACACTACAGTTCTCTCCTCCTCCCTTCCAAAAGGCAGTTAACATGGGTGGGAGGCTAACTCTGCCTGCAGCTGCCAATTTGCCTCACTCCCTGTTTCGTTCTGAAGCCTTGGGCCCCTCTTGATGACTATTTCAGTTCAAACAGAACCAATTTTAACTCCCATCTTCATGTAACCTTATGGTCTATTTAGAAGACATTCACAATCTCAGTATTTACTAAAAATATTGGGATATTGGGTCAGGTAGGCTTTTGGTACTTATTTTGAATTTTTACTTGCTAGCACTGAGTTTCTAGCCATTTGCCAATCCCAGTACTAGGATTATCTTGTTCCAAACATAAAGCAAAAGCTCGGGACTGGATAGCAGACTGACTTCCTTACACAGAGGTGTGCACTTCCATGGAATGACAGAAATCCCTCAACAAATTCTATGCTGATCTTTAGCATTCATTTTTCTAAGAAGTCCCAAGTGGAAAAATTGTCATTTCAGATTCTCCCCCAGTAGATACTTCTTAGTCTATTATGGTAAGGCTGAATCGTACAGCCTGAGCCCTCATTTTCCCCTTTCAGCTGGGCAATGCCATCAGCTACAGCCCCCACTGAAAAAGCACTCTGGAAGAAGAACTGCATCCCCTGGGCAGTGAATCCCGGGTCTGAGTTGGATCACTCCCAGCTAGCTGGCTGGCAGCAGATGACACACACGAAACTCACTGTACCTTTCAGCAGTTTCCCAACACATGTTTCTGTCAAGTGCAAGACTCCACTATCAATGTAGTGCAGGAGGGTGTGCAGAGGGAGACATCGAACACCAAGCCCCAAGTGCAGAGTGTGAAAACCTATGAGAGAGAGACAAACTTGTCTGGTACAACAATGTATTTTTTTTCTATGTCTGTATTAGAGACTGGCATTAGAAACACTCTCCTTAACTTGTGACTGTTTCTAGTTGGTGAGGAAGTCACTTTTGATAAAGTCATGGAGTCTTATTTAGGCATCCTTTATGTCCTCTCAATTTCAGTCCTGTCAGAAAGAGGAAAGCCAGTGGGACTGGAAACAGTCATTATAGTCATACACAGTCACTAAACATCTCCAAGCTCTTGCCTTATACCTGAATTGTTCCATGAATTTGTCTTCTATCTTCCTCTTTCCTCCTAATTAATCAAAACCTGAGGCCTCACCACCCTCGGTGTGTGGCAGCCACCTACACATTCCCACAGGCAGAATTAAGACTTCAGTTTCTCGGTTACCATCAGCCAGATGATGGTTGTTATCACGTGACACCGTGATACATCAGCATCAGCATCTGACCTCCCACAGCGTAAGTCTGAGGGATAACCTCATATCTCAAACGGTTTCAAAGACTGAAGACAGATGAGGACATATAAACTGGAAAGATTCAAACAGAATCAGAAAGCATTCATATGTTGAGAAAAGAAATAAGCAAGTGCTTTGAAAAGACTCTAAGCGATTATGAGCGAAATGGAAGTCTGCTATCACGATCAGCTCTTCCACCAAGGCTGGAGGTAACCCTCTCAGGGTAGAACTGAAAGATTAACAGAGCAACAGCATGAGGAAAAAACACTCCTTTTTAACAGTATTTTCCCTTGTAGCCCTTGACACTGAAGCCCAGCTGTCTAAGAAAAATATAGAAATGAAAGAAGTCTAAATTTTCTTTCCAAGCTAGGACTACGCACAAGCATTCCACCAGAAGCTGAAAACAGAGAACTCAATTTCTGGTTTGTCGTCTCCATTTCTAGTAACTACTCAGCTTTGTTTCATTTCACTTGCACATGTTTATGGACACTCCTCCCCTCTGAACTGTCTGGAACAGACTTCAATAATGCCAAAGCTAACTCGACACAGGTGCTTGCAGCTAGTGCTCTTCTGCAGCACAGTTCTCACAACTACAACAGCAAAGCATGGGACTTACCAGGAGGTAAAGGCATGCACATGCCATTTGCAGCTTCCAAAATCCGACTCATGATGTGGAACACCGCAAACTCTCTTGCACTTCCTCTCTCATCGCTGTATTTAACAAAGGAGCAACATATTAGGAACCCGAGATGCCCACACTCCCCTGGAGATACGGTCAATTTGTTGTACCACGTGCGTGCTAAACGCATGGATTTTGGGTGAATTGCCATGGATGACACCTTGCTTACTTAGGTGTCTGTCACCCAGCAGCACTGGCTGTTTGGTGCTGACACACACAAAGTCTCTGTGCTGCCCCCTTTCTCTTACCCCACTGCTGTGCATTTACAAGTCTCCCAGCAGTAGCTGCTATCAACAGCAAAAGGGGAAACACTCTGAGTGCTGGTGTAAGTGACGTGGCTTTTACAGCTGTTCCACACCCACTGCCCAGCTTAAGACCACTTTGAGCTCAGCCATAAAACTGCCTCTATGATGACTACTGAGGGTGGCTTGGAGAGGGCCAGGACATGGCAGTCAGATCGACAGTCACGGCAGAATAAGTGCTGAAGACCAAAATTCCCGTGCCCGTATTTTAAAAGGGAGGCTGACAACTTCAACAGGTAACTTGCTCACAAGCAGAAGATGCAGGAATGAAGCTGGTATCTCCTCCAAACTTCTTTCATTATTTGATGTACCAGATTCAGCTAAAACAAAAGAAAGAAAAGACTGAATGATTCCAGGAGCCTGCGTAGAGCAGGCCCTTGGCCTTCATTCATTTCACACATCAGTTTATGTTAAAAACTTCACATAAGACTCTTACTAAAACTTCAGTACTAATCTTTTCTCTCTACGGCCTTAAAATGTAACACTGACTAAAATTTGAATTGTAAGTGAATTGCCTTATTCCAGAAGTTTAAGTGCTTCCAGCTCATCAAAGCATTGCGCAAGTCATACAGCATCTTCACACACCGTGCTGCTTGGGGATCAACTGCTCTCACGCTCTTGCATCAAACGCTGAGAGGTCTGTTTGCCACCAAAGCAAAACCTCTATGTCCAAGTGGCTGAGCATTTGGCAAGGAAAGGTCCTGAGGGCCCAGACAAAACTGGATGATGCTGGAGACAGTGGATTATACTCAGTTTGCAGAAAAAAGCCTGCAGGAGGAAACACAAACCTACTCCTGGCTAGAAGGAACGATGAAACAAGCCTCTCCTCCTCTAATGAATTTCCTTTCTGACCATAGTGAAGTACAACAATCCCTTGGCCCACGTTGTTGCTCCTTGGCGCTCCCAGGCCGACCCCCAGTACAGAATGGAGCCTACAAAAGCCACAAGCCCTGTTGTCACTTGGCCTTCTAAGCTGCTGCAGCTGGAGAGAAACCACGCATGGAAGAGTTGAAATAACTTCCTCTAGCCGGCCCCTCACAACCGTCACGTGTAACCACTTCCGCAGCTCAGCAGCAGGACGGAGACTTCCTCCACGCCTTTTATCTCTGGGCCTCAAATCAATCAACCCCAGGAAACAAGTCTGAGCCCCGCTTTGCAGAGGTGTCACGAGACATTACAAACCCTTTTCCCCCAAGGATGGCCAGAATCCAGGAATCCTTGTTCCCACTTTATTTTCTCCTCATAGGTTCTGCCCCTCCAACCTCTAACTTGTCACAGGCTCTGAGCAAGAGAGAAAGAGGACACTCAGGAGAAGCTCACAGGCAAAGGCCAGAACAGAAACATTGGCCTCCAGGAATGCTCCACAGAGCACCCTCCTCGGTACCTTGGCCAAGGTACCTCTACAAGGCAGCGCCTTTTCCGTCCACCATTCCCTCCAGCCCTGCACAGCTCCCACATGCAGAATAACCACCTAATACTTTCCATCTTCAGCCTTTCTGGATGCACTGGAAAGCTGCAGTTTAATCTCTGGAGTATGGCAAGTTTTCTCCGCTCGTTTTCCAGGAAATGAGCGATTTCCAGTTTTCAGAGAAGAGTCACAGGAACCACACCTGCTGCCAGAATGACTTTCATCTCCGGCCAGCACACAGGGTGCAGTTAAGGCCCCTGCATTGGGAGCTACAGCTGGATCTGAACATCCATGTTGAGGTGAAGGGAAGCTTCTTACAAACTCCAGAGTCACCTCTTATTATCTGTGCAACAAAAATCGTTTTCATGCCTATGATACTCCAGAATCAACACTCCTTCCTTAATACAGCAAACTGCACAGCTTTCACAGGGCACAGACAGGCATCAACTTAAGCCAGTGTCAACCCAGCTGTCACAACGCACTCAAATACACGCACGCTTGTGACAACACCCTCGCCCACAGCGCTGCTCACTTCGGAGATCAGCCACAACGGACACCGTGGACAATACGCACAGAAAGAGAAGCCACGCCTCAAACATTTGTCAGTATACAACACACAGCACAACATGCGGGAGAGAAAGCAAACATCATCCGTTTCACAGCGGCACAACAGGCAGCTTCCGCTCCAAGGCTAGCGCCGGGTCTCTGGGGTAACCAAGTTAAGAGCTAAACCCACACCTTCACGGCAAAGCCACCTGTCATTTGGTAACAAGGAGGTACAGTATGAGGTCTTTCTGGGCAAATATCAGAAGCCTTTTCCCTCCGAGTGCTCTGAACTAGAGGTCTAAACATGATCGGCAGCGGGACAGTGCATGCAGCAGGGCCTCAACTGACATTTCAGTGCTGTCTTGGAACATCTGCACTTCCAGGCAAAGGTGCTGAGATTGGGAAACACAAGTGCTGAGCTCCTGTGGCTGTTTCTACAGGAAAGACACGGAAGCAGCCAAAGAAAAGAATTGGGAGCAAAGGAGAAAAAGCATTAAGATAGGATCTTGCTGTCTTCCAGAATCCCCCCTGTGCAGGGAATACAAGGCGATCCTCCTCCTTCCCAGGAAACTGAAATCCAAATGGAGCCTGTCTTCTGTTCCCCCGCAGCTGAGACCACATCAGGTGACAGCTCAACACAGCCATCAGCCAAAAAGGTGCAGCCACTGTGGTGACTTTCAGAGAAACACCACCAGCCTATTCTGGTCTGTCTCCTTGTGCCACAGGCTGGCTGTTCGCTCTGCCGCCTCTTCCACTTGCTGTCAGGGCAGCAAACGTCACGCTGCCTCTGTCAGTTACTTCCCCTCTTCCCTGCCCTGCTGAAATGAAAAGGAGAGAAGCAGATACTGAGCAAAGCTAAGATAAAGAGCTTGGAGAGAGGAGAGAATACGGACATACAGACGATTGCTGCAGGCTGGGTGGCTTGTGAACTGGTAAGCAGCATGCTCAGGCCCTGCAGACTGCCTCGGCAAAGCAGGGAATTCCCACTGAGACCTTCCACTCACACTTCCCCAAATTACTTCTCTGTATACAGATGGACACAGCCCTCTGACAGCACCGAGACACCAGCTCCAGGCGGTCGTTAGAGAACTGTTAACGCTCGCGTGTCTTGGCTACTTCGACATCAGCTGAGCCTTGTTCTCTGCCACTCCTTCCCTCCTGAATGTAACGAGATAGTATTTTATAAAGCAGACAAGCAAATGATTTTGTCTCTTCCTGTTTCATTATCTCAGCTACATGCTGCTGATGCTACAGAAAACTGTTGGAAGAATCAAAACAATTCATTCCCCTAAAGAACTTCCAAACATCTAAGATACAGAGTTTTAAGATTTAAGAGTTTCTGACTAGGATGAGAAGAAACCCAAGGCTAACAATGAAATATTTTCTAAAGATTTCCAAACGGCACCTACGATCATGGAATCATTAGGTTGGAAAATATCTTTAAGATCACCAAGTCCAACCGTTAACCCAACACTACCAAGTCCACTACTAAACCATGTCCCCAAGTGCCTCGTCCACGTGTCTCAAATACCTCCAGGGATGGTGATTCCACCACTGCCCTGGGCAGCCTGTTCCAGTGCCTGCCAACCCTTTCAGTGAAGACATTTTTCCTAATATCCAATCTAAACCTCCCCTGGTGCAACTTGAGGCCATTTCCTCTTGTCCTATCCCTTGTCACCTGGAAGAAGAGACCAACCCCCACCTCTCTGCACCCTCCTTTCAGGTAGCTGTAGAG